ACTTGTGAGAGTTCGGTCCACTAGGCTATTGCTTGGAGCGGCCCGCAGGCCCACATACCCACCACAGCCCGGTTGGTCTGGCACTCCTTGGAGCAATAAATCTAGTTTCCTCTTGAAAATGTCCACGGTTGTTCCGGCAATATTTCTTATGCTTGCTGGGAGGACGTTGAACAACCGTGGACCTCTGATGTTTATACAGTGTTCTCTCTCAATAGCGTGGTCCAACACGCTATTGCTTCGAGCGGCCCACAGGCCCACATGTCCACCACAACCGGTTGGTCCGGCACTTCTTAACTACTGTACCGCACTGCGCAACGCACCTTGAGGCTCTCGATGGGTGGTGCACAACACGCCTCAGGTCTCTCATAGGTATAGTGCACAATTCAAAAGTGGTGCACAATGACGCGGGTACGAAATGGATGTGATCGTCTAGTGATCGTCCGCCATTTTGAAAAAAAATCCCAGCATACCCCAGAGCCGTGGGAACCCTCTGTTTCAAGGAAGCAACCATGTCTGACTCATCGTCTACAAGCTCCCGGTCCATGGTCAGCCGCAGTCCAGCAAAATGATTCTCGGAGGACGAGATACGGAATGTATTGTATGATGATTTAGACTACAGTCCTGAAAAAGACCTAACACAGGGGGGTTGGACTTGAGTGATGGGGACACGGAGGTGGACTATGTTGCGAGTGTGTACAGTACACGCACCTCGCTCGGCCTGCCTCGCCGCCCTGGGTCAACACCGCTAGGTGTCACCATCCCCATGTGTGTTTCCCGATGCAAGTTTATTTAGTGATACAACAAGTGAAGAATCATTCTCGGGTTTCAGTGACATAGGCTCCAATACAACAGAAACAGAAAATAACATGATGTTTAACAGTGATAAATTCCAGGTACTCAGGTACGGTAAAAATGAGGACCTTAAACATAATACAGGGTACAAAACACAATCAAATGTGCCCATAGTAGGAAAGCAGCATGTAAAGGATTTGGGAATAATGATGTCTGATGACCTAATGTTTAAGGAGCATAACCAAGTAAATGTTACGTCAACGAGAAAAATGATTGGATGGATTACGAGAACTTTCAAATCCAGGGATCCCATCACAATGGTTGTACAGTACCGTACTATACAAATCACTTATAATGTCCCATCTTGAGTACTGCTCAGTACTCACTCACCCCTTCAGAGCAGGAGAGATTGCTGAAATAGATGGAATACAGAGAACATATACGGCATACATAGACGCAATAAAGCACCTAAATTATTGAAATCATCTCAAAGCTCTCCAAATGTACTCACTAGAAAGAAGATGAGAGAGATATCAAATAATATACACATGGAAAATACTGGAATTTATTTGGTATATAAATACCAAATCTACATAGTAAAATAACAACATACTGGAGTGAATGATATGGAAGAAAAATGCAGAATAGAACCAATGAAGAGCAGGGGTGCCATAGACACAATCAGAGAACACTGTATAAACATCAGAGGTCCACAAATCCACAAGGGCCTGTGACGAAGATTCGAACCTATGTCCGAGAGCATCCCAGACGCTGCCTTATTAATCGACTGAGCAATGACATTTACCATGTTGTAGCTCAGTCGATTAAGGCAGCGTCTGGGATGCTCTCGGACGTAGGTTCGTATCCTCATCACAGCCCTTGTGGATTTGTTCATATGATGCATCACGCTATTGTGATTTCTGTGTGTCCACAGTTGTTCAACATCCTCCCAGCGAGCATAAGAAATAATTGCCGGAACAACCGTGGACATGAGAAAACTAGATCATTTTCTCCAAGGAGTGCTGGACCAACCGGCCTGTGGTGGATATGTGGGCCTGCGGGCCGCTGCAAGCAACAGCCTGGTGGACCAAACTCTCACAAGTCAAGCCTGGCCTCGGGCCAGGACTTTCACATGATTGGTTCCTGCTGCTTCTCAGGTGCCTGCACTTTGAGAACAATGATAATGAAGACAGACATGACAGACTGTTTAAGGTGCAGATGATATTTAGCGATATGAGAGGAAAGTTCCGTCACTATTTTGAACCAGGACAGAATGTCGTGATTGATCAATCGCTAGTCCTCTTAAAGGGACGACTGGTGTTCAAGCAGAACATTCCATCAAAACGGCACCGGTTTGGACTCATGTTTTTCGTGCTGTGTGATTGCGAAACTGGTATCATCATGGACATGATACTGTATTCAGGTACAGACGTTGACATACCAGGTCAAGATCCACACGAGTTCTCAGACAGTGTCGTGAAAACACTCATGGAACCGTTGCTGAACAAGGGGCATATCCTGTTCACAGACAACTACTATACCAGCCCCTTGCTGAGCAGACTCCTCCTTGGCCACAACACTGGCATATGTGGCACTGTCAAGGCACACAGGAGGGAAATGCCAGTGTTTGGCATTGGTATTGCAGTAGGTGATTGCCAGCTGCAAAAGTGTGAACAAATGTTATCAGTGCGCTGGAGGGACAAACACGAGGTGAATATGTTGACAACTATTCACACCAGTGCCATGTTGGATAGTGGCAAAGTGAACTTTGCAACAAAGTTCCCAATATATAAACCTGATGTGTCACTGACTACAACGTAAATATGTGGCAAGTTGATAAATGCAACATTATGGTTGGTGCCGTCGAGTGCGTGCGAAAATCTATGATGTGGACGAAGAAATTTATTTTCCACCTCATTGACATTGCAGTGCTGAACTGTTTCAACATGACCAAATCCACAAGGGCCGTGAAGAGGGTTCGAACCTACGTCTGAGAGGATCCCAGACACGCCTTAATCGACTAAGCTACGACATGGTCAAAAGAATTGCAACCGCAAAATCAACGTGACCTATCACGGACCCTGCAGTCTCTCCGAGACACAAACCAGTGTTTTACACAATTCCCCCCATGCACCTGAGCTCTGCCAATAAGCTATTCTACCTCTTCGCCCTTACTTCAATACACACAGAAATCATAATAGTGTGATGCATCAAATGAATGCATCACACTATTGTGATTTCTATGTTTTCAATATGTATCTCATGAAATCTGGCAAGAGTGTACATTCAGTGTTGCTCTAGTGTCACAACTTCTCATGAAGCATGGGGTGGAGGGCTGTGTTGCAACATGTGGGATGCCAGCAACAATGCCTCATGCAGTTTCTGACAGACTCAGGGGTAAGCACATTCTGGCTGTACACAAGCTTGGTTATATGCCAGGCACAGGCGCATGGGACAAGGGTAAACGCGCCCGAGTTATCTGCAAGAACATACGACATAGGGAATGCAAGCAAAGATGCATCTGCACCTGATGCGTCGAGTGCAAAGTTCCCCTATGCCCCGTTGACTGCTTCACCGATTATCACACACTCGCGCAGTTCTAAGTGTGTTGATAGGGGATGTATAGTCTACGGCACGGGCGACCACTGAGACGTGACGTGAGGCCCCATTTTCTGGACACCACTGCAGCCTAGTACACTTTTGACATTTTTTTCAACAGATATATGATCAGGGAAGGGTATTTAACACTTTAGGAAGAACAAAAATAAATTGTGAATAATTTATTTTTGGCACACCATGGGTTTGTTATATTTTAAGGCTGAGCACTGCAGTAGTTAAAGAAAACTATCTAGTTTTCTCTTGAAGATGTCCATGGTTGTTATGGCAATATTTCTTATACACGCTGTGAGTATGCTCTCTAGAATGGAACACAGTTGCACAATGACAGCCCCTTTCAAAGCTGGAGAAATTGCTGACCTGGAGAGCTAGAGATCCTTTATGGCTATAATCCACACAGTTAAGCACCTAAAACTATTGGGACAGTCTGTATTCTCTTGAGTGCAGGCGGGAGAGAAACATAATAATTTACATGTGGAAAATAGTAGAGGGGCTAGTCCCAAACCTGTACACAGAAATAACACCACACGAGACCAGAAGGCACGGCTGGATGTGCATAATACTCCCTGTTGAAAAGCAGAGGTGCAATAGGTACTCTGCGAGAGAACTCTATCAACACCAGAGGCCCGAGACTGTTCAACACGCTTCCACCACACATAACGGGGGCATAACTGGCCGACCCCTCGCAGTGTTCAAGAGAGAACTTGATGAACACCCAAAAAGGATACCAGATCAATCAGGCTGTGATTCATACATCAGGCTACAAGCAGCCGAGTCCAACAGTCTGGTTGACCAGTCCAGCAAAGAGAGGCCTGGTCGAGGACAGGGACGCTGAGATGTTAAGCCCCGAAATCATCGCAAGGTATGCTGAATAACTGTGGACCTCCGATGTAAATACTGTACAATGTTCTCTGATTGTGCCTATGGCACCCCTGCTCTTCACTGGTCCTATTCTGCATTTTCTTCCATATCATTCACTCCAGTATGTTATGTTATTATGCAGATTTGGGACCTGGTCCCCCCCCCCCTTCCCCACACGTTTTTCCACAGGTATATTATTTGGTATCTCTCTCGTCTCCTTTCTACCGAGTCCATTTGGAGAGCTTCGAGATGATCTCAATAATTTAGGTGCTTTATTGTGTCTATGTTGTATATGTTCTTTATATTCCATCTATTTCAGCAATCTATCCTGCTCTGAAAGGGAAAGCATGTATTGAGCAGTACTCAAGATGGGACAGCACAAGTTATTTGAATAGTACAAGCATTGTGATGGGATCCTTGGATTTGAAGGTTCTCATAATCCATCCAATTACATTTTCTGGCTGTTCTCTACAGGATACCTGATCAACCAGGCTGTGATTTTTATGTCAAACTGGGAGCTGCAGTGTCTAACAACTTGATCAGAGATTTGCACCCAGCACATGGTAGACCCCATGTGGTCGCCAATAAACAATCAATCCTAATTAAATGGTACTAAAATTAAGGGTAACATACATTTTGCACTCAAGTGCATATATACAGTAATGATATAAAAAAGAACAATTAAGTGCAACAATACTAATAAGTAAATTTATTTCTTTTAAGGAACTTACCCCCATTGTGGCCAATAAGGTATTATTATCCTGTTTCTTATTTTCTGTAGTTTTTTTGTTTGTCTTTTTGGCTTTTGATTCTATATGCCTCTGCTTGAGAAGAAGAGTCTGCTTCTGCTGGTCAGTATAAAGTGTCTCAATTGAGGTGTCAAATCTACTGGTGACTGAATTATGGTTCTGGCGGTAGTGTCCCAGGCGTCGCTTTAGGCGATCAACAACAACTTGTCGGCCCTGCTGGAAGTCGGCCATATTATCAGGGCCTGCACCCCCAGCCAGCGCCGTGCCCCCGCCCACCCCTGCCACTATGGCGGAATGTCGGGAGCACCGCAAAAACAGCCAGTTTAAAACACTGCACTTGAACCAGCGTTAAAAGTTTTACTGGCGCGTGGAGGAGGTAAGCGACCAAGCGCGACGTGGTACTCGAGGCTGTCACCAAATCTTCCGTGATTCTCTCTTCTTGGATTTAGTTATTTAATCTTAGTCTCAAATATATTGTTTGTGTGTGGTACTCAGACCATGCAGAGTATCACATGATTAATGGTTGTGCGCACTTCTTAGGCGGCCTGGCCAGCAGGAGGAATAGCTCAAGATCAGCACTTGGTGTAATCCTCCTGTAGCCAGCTGATGAGACCCACTGGAGCCTGGACCTCCGCCCTAGGCAGGCAGGAGGAACCTAGGAGGCTCGCGGGGAAACACCAGCACTGGGGACGCGTACTCCGGAGCCGCCGCCATCTTCACACAGCCTCTCCAAAACTGCCTCTCAACCATCTTGCTCACCCCACCTGCAATAGAAAGTTTTTTATGTTTTAGTAAACTTAACAAAAAACATGCGATCGGTAAATGTTGTGTACACCAATATTCGGAAAATAAGGTACAGAAATATGACTCAATCAAATTATTAACAATAAATAAATAAATAAATACAAAATGTTGTTTTTAACTAAAGATTATCCCTACATCTGCATATTTAAAAATGTAAAAAACACAAACAATTCCAAAATTAAAACCAGCGGCACACAGTGTAACAATGGCAGAATATGGATCACTGCCAATCATAAGAACATTGGTTAGAAATGTTCAGCTAAGTCACTGAAGTCTTGATACCTGGTTGATACCTGGTTGATGGGGTTCTGGGAGTTCTTCTACTCCCCAAGCCCGGCCCAAGGCCAGGCTCGACTTGTGAGAGTTTGGTCCACCAGGCTGTTGCTTGGTGGTTGCTCTTAACGACTCATCAAGGCAACCTAGCTACTTAACACAGCATTTGTTGAACCAGTACTAGAATATGCAGCATGGAACCTTACAGGAGGCAGCAGAGTGCACGAATCACCTACTGGAAAGGAACAGAGCTTAAGTCGTGGCAGGTATCAAGGAACAAGAAGATTCCAGTTAGGAAGAGTGAAAAGCTAAGGACAGAGATGCAATGTCAGGGATTCTGAAGGGGGATCCTTCTCTGAAGGTTGTGGGGGTTAACAAATGGAGGAAGCTGAACAATGTTTTATTAGGCTTGGCTGATACAACAAAGACAGATATCAATTGATAAAGGTAGCATTAACAAATGAGGCCACCAAAGAAGAAATTCTAACGCATGGTATGGAGTGGAAGAGCAACATGTTATGGAATACAACAAGATATTCCTCTTGAGGGACATGAGAATCCAGACAGCAGATGCAAGGAAGAGGTGCAGTGCGAGAGGGAAGGGAACCAGGGAACTACAGCCCAACCCAACATTCCCAGTGGGGAGTGGGGAACCCACAACCAGCAATTCAGTAACCCCAGAGGAACTGCAACACCTACACCTGCCACCCCATAGGACCCCCCCACCCCAAGCCCAAGCCCAAACCCCCTCATATCCCTCCCTATACAATGACCACCATGCCACTCAAATCCTCCCTTCCTCCCTCCCTGCCACCCCATCCTTTGGCCCTCCATCCTCCACCTCATATACCTTGGCTTGGCTTGCCTTACCTTACACCTTGTGGTGGTTCCGAGGGTCAGGGTCCCCCCTGGTCCGGTCTCTGATCAGGCCTCCTGGATGATGGTCTGGTCAACCAAGCAGTTGAATGCGGCTGCTCGCAGCCTGACGTATGAATCACAGCCTGGTTGATCAGACATCCTTTGGAGGGGTTTATCAAGTTCTCTTTTGAACACCGAGAGATTAGCCAGTTATGCCCCTTATGTGTAGTGGAAGTATGTTGAACAGTCTCAGGCCTCTGATGTTGATATGTGAATAAATGCCATATTATGGCACGTGGAATTGGAGAAAATAGACCACATACTGTACAACTTACAAATTATGTGGAAAGGAATTACTGAACTCTTAATAAAGGACAAGACCTATGGGTAGTTTTGGATAGTAAGATTTGATAGTAGCTTACTTCTAGAGTCCAGAGGAACACAAAGAACACTGCAAGAGGAGTGTATGCGTCGTTTTCCAACTTCAGACTTGCTTTTTATTATATGGATGGTGAAATACTAAAGAAACTGTTCATAACTTGTGACACCAAAATTAGAATATGCATCCAAAATATGTTTTCACATATGCAAAATCAAAATAAAAAACCTCTGCCAGTATTGGACCTTTATTTACAACTGAAGAGGACAACAAGGAAATTGGTGAAATTAAAAGATGCCAGTATGAGGTTATGTTTAGCACACCAATAAACAACATGAAAGTTGAAGATCCAGACAGCTTCTTTATGAATGACATCCAAGCTTCAAATAATATAACGGATATTAACATGAACTCGGAAAACTTAAAAAGAGAAATTGACAGCATGCCCATGCACTCAGCCCCTGGTCCTGTCTCATGGAATTCAAAATTCATATAGAAATGTAAAGTACCAGTAGAGTGAGTTCTTAGTGTAATATGGAGAAAGAGCCTGGATACAGGGGAGATACCAGCAGCACTTAAATCAGCAGATATAGCTCCCTCTGCACAAGAGGTAGTAAAGCTTTGGCAAAATATTATAGACCAGTTCCACTAACATCACACAATAAAAGTTTTTGAAAGAGTGATTAGGAATAAAATTTCTAATTTAATGGAAAATAATGAACTACTGTACACAACCCAGGACAGCATGGATTTAGAGCAGGAAGATCCTGTCTGTCACAGTTACTTAACCACTATGACAAAATCACAGGACCCTTAAAAGAAAAGCAAAAATACAGATGTTGTATACACAGACTTTGCAAAGGCATTCGACAAGTGAGACCATGGAGTGACACCACAAAATGAGGTCTATGGGAATAACTGGTAAAGTAAGATGGTGGATACTCAATTTCCTGTCGAACAGAACACAAAGAGTAACAGTCAATCAAATAAAATTGAGTCCAAGAGCAGTTAAAAGCTCTGTACCTCAGGGTACAATCCTTGCACCACTGCTTTTCCTTATTCTCATATCAGATATAGACAACAATACAAGTCACAGCTTCGTATCATCCATTGCAGATGACACAAAAATCAGCTTGAAAATTACCTGAAAATCATGAAAATTACCTGAAAATCATCATGAATGATTCCTTATGCAAGTTTCTAAAAGCAGTTCTTATGTTGGCCAATCTAGCATATGCCACTGATAATATCCTTTTGATGTGGGCTTCTGGTGACAAGTTCGGTGTGAGATCAACCCCTGGCCCGAGGCCAGGCTTGACTTGAGAGAGCTTGGTCCAACAGGCTGTTTGTGGCTTGGAGCAGCCCAGAGGCCCACATATCCACAACAGTCCGGTTGGTCCAGCACTTCTTGAGGAATCAAGAATCGTCTTGATTCTTGATCATCGTGTCTTAATCATGTCTTGATTCTTCTAAATTTTTACATCTTCTTGATACCTGCTTGATGGGGTTCTGGGAGTTCTTCTACTTCCCAAGCCCGGCCCGAGGCCAGGCTTGACTTGTGAGAGTTTGGTCCACTAGGCTGTTGCTTGCAGCGGCCCACAGGCCCACATCAGGCCCCATCATCGGCAAACATTGAGAGGAATGAGTCTATACCCTCTGGAAGATCCTTAATATACATCAAACAGGATGGGTCCAAGTACATCACCCATTTATACAAGTAAATGGGTGAATGTTCAGACTGTCACAAGGCTGGTTCCAGAAATAAGAAAACTATACTGCGAGGCCAAGCACAGAGGAGGACCCCCTGTCAATGGAATCAGAAAATTAAACTCATGATCACAACATACAAGATTACAAGTACTTATCAGAGGAAGGCGCTATGCTGGGAACATGTCATGTCTCCCTTCTAGTTATAAGAGGCACAGATAAAGAATCCCAGCAGAAAAAACATGAAACAACATTTACTTATAGGATCAACGTCGATCGTTATATCATTTACTTGCCCATGGGGATGAGGAGTGGTGGTATATGACAGTACTTAAGAAGTACACAGGACGAAAGTGTAAAGGTGAAAACTTGAAATATAATAAAGTCAAAGACGTGCACAGCAGTGCACATGTGACTCTCACTAGACCTTTTCACGGCTCACGTCAGTAACTGGAGGTTAACGGCCACAAAGGGACACCAAAAAACAAGTACAAATAAGATTATCTAAACGAGTCAGTATTCCGGGGCTGGCCAAGGAGTGATACCTGGAGTCCGTCCAGCAGCGCTCTAACACAAGACTGTACATTAGTAAGGAGCTCAACTTCACACACACGCCAGAGGTGGGGAAGGGAGGGAGGTGCTCCATAACAGTGAAGGACTGGTGGGGTCCCCGGGATGATAATGAGGCGGGTGGCGGGGTGGTGCCTCCCACACCCTCAACCAGGTCGAGGTGGTGTTGGCGCAGTTTACCCCACACCAGGCTCGGGGCCCCTCTCCAACACGTGGACGAGGGGCCACGGCCCACACCAAGCTCGGGGCCCCTCTCAACACGTGGACGAGGCACCACGGCCCACACCAGGCTCGGGGCCCCTCTCAACACGTGGACGAGGCACCACGGCCCACACCAGCACATGTCGATACCTGATACCTGGGGTTGATGGGGTTCTGAGAGTTCTACTCCCCAAGCCCGGCCCGAGGCCAGGCTTGACTTGTGAGAGTTTGGTCCACTAGGCTGTTGCTAGGAGCGGCCCACATACCCACCACAGCCCGGTTGGTCCGGCACTCCTTGGAGGAATAAATCTAGTTTCCTCTTGAAGATGTCCACGGTTGTTCCGGCAATATTTCTTATGCTCGCTGGGTGTTGAACAACCGTAGACCCCTGATGTTTATACAGTGTTCTCTGATTGTGCCTATGGCACCCCTGCTCTTCACTGGTTCTATTCTGCATTTTTTTCCATATCGTTCACTCCAGTACGTTGTTATTTTACTGTGTAGATTTGGTACTTGGCCCTCCAGTATCTTCCAGGTGTATATTACTTGATATCTCTCTCGTCTTCTTTCTAGTGAATACATTTGGAGGGCTTTGAGACGATCCCAATAATTTAGGTGCTTTATCGCGTCTATGTGTGCCGTATATGTTCTCTGTATTCCCTCTATTTCAGCAATCTCTCCTGCTCTGAAGGGGGAAGTGAATACTAAGCAGTACTCAAGACGGGACAACACAAGAGTACAACCATTGTGATGGGATCCCTGGATGGTGGTGTTGGCACAGTTTACCCCACACCAGGCTCGGGGCCCCTCTCAACACGTGGACGAGGCACCACGGCCCACACCAGTACCAATGAAACCCTAATGAACAGCGCCAGAGAGCGGGGAGCAGTGAGGTGGGGGGGGGGGGGGTGTCGTCAGCTGAGTGAACAAGAGAGGGGCTAGGAGGAAGGAGGAAGGGGAGGGGTGAACTGG